GTTATATATAGCATTATATTATATTATGTTTGGTGCACAATAATTAAGCTAGTGAATTACCGTTATAAATCAAAGAATCAATTGCTCACTAACACTACTCCTTTTTCAATTTTCATGTGAAGCCAAAATATTTCACAAACAAAATAAAATAAATTAAAAGCTTATGCAATAACCAAAACAATGAGAATAATCATAAATAAAATATAAAATAAGTTTAACATACAAAAGAAAGTATATATAGTCATAGGTGGAAAAAGAAATGCACAGTAACAATAATATTAATCATTCACCTTATTCACAAGTAAAATATAAAATAGAATCCACAATAATTTACCTTGTTTCCGAGAGAAAAATAAAAACAATTATTTTACCTTCTTTTATTTACTTTGCCTCAATCATGCAATGGTAGAACATTCGTGCTGATAATGTGTTGTAAAACTAAAGTAAAACAAGACAAGAAATATAAAAGATAATAGCAATAGAAATAGGAAAATAAGAGATGAGAGCTTTTCTTATTCTTCATAGTATTCAAGTGTTCACCAAATCTTCAAGTGTATATAATATGAACCCTTATGCTTCTATTTATAGTGTAACATAGAGGCATACAAAAGGTTAGTCATAAACATGACATTAGCATGAATATAATGGAGGAGGTTATGGAAGTGAATGGTTACAAGAATAATGGTGTTATAAAGTTGGAGGTTATGGAAGTGAATGGTTACAAGAATAATGGTGTTATAAAGTTGGAGGTTATGGTTATCTTCATAACTGAGGAAAGTAATGGAGATAATGGGTGAAAGTAACTTCTTGGTGTAGTGGACATCCACACTATAATATTTTATAACAAAAATTACATTTTAAATGAAATTAACACGTGTCATGTAATGATTGATGTGTGAACAAACTTGCTTCTTAAAATCTGGGGCTGATCGAAAACTGATAAAATAATATTTGTTTAAAATTGTTAAGTGGGTTAATAGGACGGTTGCAAAGTTAAGTTATCTTTTTGAAAATCCGGGACACTTCAATGGTGACTTTATGTCTTTTCTCTATAAAAAAAAAGGGAAACTTTCGCATATAGCCACTAAAAAATAGTTTAATTATTCTCCACAACTATAGTTTGTTAATTACAATTCGTAGCTACATGTTATAAGGAGGAAAGTGGCGAGCGAGATTGGGAGAGGGAGGAGAGAGGCAAGCGAGAGAGGACAGAGAGTGGGGGAGAGGTGAATTGTATATGTATATTAGTTAGATAATTGTATATATGTAACTAGTATACATATGTATTTGTATATATGGCGAGCGAGATTGTGAGAGGGAGGAGAGAGGTGAGCGAGATTGGGAGAGGGAGGAGAGAGGCGAGCGAGTTTGGGAGAGGGAGGAGAGAGCGAGCGAGTTTGGGAGAGGGAGGAGAGAGGCAAGCGAGAGAGGGAAATAATTGTATATTTTGCATCTCATTTGTATAATTCGCGGGTACGTTTGTATAATTCACGTGCTTTTGTATAATTGGGTAATATAAAGTTTGGAATTATACAAATATGATAAAACTCGAAATAACGAATTGATACAAATATAAACATATGAACTTTAAATAGTTATACAAATTATATTATACAAATTACATTATATAAATTATATTATACAAAATTTGAAAACTACACATTTATACAAACTTTAAAAAGTTATACACAAAAAGATTGAATGTATATGGTGATAAAACTAAAAAATTAATGGAAATCATTGTCATATACAAATACAAACCATCGTATACAAATATAAATCAAACGAACAATTGTTAGTTGCTAATTATACAAATGTGATGAATTATACAAACTCGAAGTCAGTTCACGTAATTAATGGTTAATGCTAGTTGCGAGTGGCAATTATAGCAAAATATAGCCATGATGACTAATTAAGCAGTATAAGTTTTCTTAACCGCATAATTTTCCCTATAAAAATTGGGATATTTTTTTAAAATTCCTAAATACTAAAATTTGGCTCAAATACTAGATTTTCTAGTATCGACAAACTTGGGATGTTGTCAAAATAAATTTGCTAAATAATAACAAAGTTATATAACCAAGGATTATTTCCAAAATATATAACCAAGTATATTTAAAAAATTTGTGGCCAAAGGAAAGTAAATATTGAAAACTGAAAATCCAATTTTCAATTTCGCTAAACTATTCCCAATAATAATCTCGCAAGGATGTCTCGAAAACTAACACTTTCAAATCCAATTTAAAAATCAACCCCATCGTATTTTAGTCCTTTTATGGGAAAATTATTTAATTACACAAATATTCTTATTATAAATATAAATTTACTTTATAATTTAAAATAACAATATATTATTCTACTAATATAGGAATACATTACCTAATTTGATAAGGATGGTAATTTTGAGCCTTTATTATTTTTCCAAACAATTCTATGTTTTCTATTTTGAGTCAAATTAGTATTTGTAAGTAGGGTGGGTATTAAATAGGATGTTGTTGTAATTTGGTTTAGAGAATTCTCTTCACAGTCTTCACAATGGGAATCAGATATCAGAGTTGGTCAAGAAACTCAGGGAACTGCTAATAGTTTGAAGTTCAATAAATCAGGTTTGTTTTACCACTTAACAATTCTTGATACTTTATAATTTTTTTGGTTACTAATTATGTTTGTTGCTTCACTATTGTAGTGATTAACCTCTTCATGATGGGAGATCAATTATCAAGAGGAGAAGAATTGGTGAAAAAAGTTGAGAAGAAACTCAATGCGGTTGGGGATTTTTCGGGTCCAAATACTATGACGCTGCACATTTACTCATTAAAGTTGTTGATTGCTTCGAACTCGCTAAATCATGTTTGTTTTACCATTACTAATAGATAAATCAACTTCACTTTTTTTAATTCTAAGTCGAAATACTCCATTTGTTTGTTTGTTTGACAGTGGAATATAATGTAGCAAGGTCTAAGATGATCCTTAATTAGTTTTAGAGAATTCCTAATTTGTCTTTTGAATAGTGGAATTGAATGCTCATGAGTTAGTTTTTGGGGTTAACTTAGGTTCCGGTTTAATGTTTTTACTCCCGGGCCTACATGCTCTAGTTGGGTGTGTTAGAGTAAGTTAAAGTCCCACATTGGTTGGGAAGGGACGGGTGGTTTGCATATATGGACTTTTCTAATTTTCTCTAATTGAGCTAGCTTTTAAAGTTGAATTAGGGTCAGGTGCCAACAAATTTTAATGGACAAATTGGATATAGAGGATCATATAGGCAACCCAACTAGGGAGTGAGCATGCTATTGTTGTTCTTGTAGGATCTATAAAAGATGACTTACTGTTTTATAAAGTATTAGATGCTCATTAATCTTACAATGTTTGTCTTTCAGGGGATCGAGTTGGAGCAGTATATGTGAAATTAGCAAGTTGTCATCTGAAGGTATGTTTTTTTTATCCTCTTCGTTATAACTCTTGTACAAAACCTTAAATTCTTAAAACTATTTTCTCTTATCTTATCAGTTGGATCGCAAACATGAGGTTGTTCGTGCTTACGATATCACTGTTGATTACTACAAGATGATGAAAAATTTGAAAGGTTGTGTGTTGTTTTATTATGCTATAGTACAAATCTTGTCTGTTGCGGGAACGTCTTATGGATATATATCAATTTTTTGCAGAGGCAATATCATGTCTAGAGAAAGTAACACATTTATTTCTGGACATTGGAAGCCTAAACGCGACCAGAGGACATTACCAGATACAACTATATTGTTGATGAGAATCCAGATGTGCTCTTTTTGTTGTTTTCAATAGATGTCTGCTAAATGTTTTCATTATACGTTTGAAAGATACATAAAAAAATATTTTGGATCTATGAAATTGCTAAATTATATGGACACGAGAACAATTTAGAGCTAGCTATTATTTACTATTATAAAACAATCGATCTTTTGGGGGGGTGCGGGGTAGGGGACGACTGAGTTGGTTGTAGGGATAAAAATATATTTGAAATTTAAAAAAAATTATTTTTTTGAATGTGGATGGTCGGGTACAGGGTATGGGTAGGGTAAGAAAAAAAATTAAAGGATGAAAGTAGAGTTTTGGAAAATGTATTCCTCACTTTTGGAAGGATGAAGTAGCGTCATTTTCCTTAAATTTGAGGAAAATGAGTTGTCTTGGAAAACATTTAAGCCCAACCAAAAATGGGAAAATTGAAAAACATATTCTGGAAAATGTTTTCCTCCATACCAAACACACCTAATTCTTCTTCTAGGATTGTTTCTTATCATCCTTTACTGAAGTGTTACATTTCGGGCCTTCACTTTTCTTTTCATTAATGAAATGCACAAGTTAATGTTATTATGAACTCAAACAAAAGAACAAAAAAATAGATTTAAGATACTTGTTCAAAAGAAAAAACGACGTGGGTAACATTATAAATGACGTTTTGTACTGATTGAGTTTGACTTCCAACTTGAGTTCGACATAGTGGTGGAGCCAGTATTCATAAAGGTGGTGTGCAACATTCACTATATATACATAATAGTATATACAATCTAACTTTCGGATGAATCCTCTAGACTCTTAGTAGCTCCAACTCCGCCCCAAGTAAAGCCCTATTACCAATAAGTATTATTTTAAAGTTTGAAATATTAGAAGAAGAATCAAATGAGAAAATTCAATAATCAACATTTCTAAGACCTTATTTTTTATAACTCAAAACTATAACGATAGGAGTATATATAACCCAAAAATATAACAGAAGATATACACATACCATATTTGAAAGTTTTAGAAGTATGTTTAACCCTTTTCAGATATAATATTATTGTTATATATCATGCATTGAAGTGTAATAAAGATCCATTTTGTTCAAACTATAGTACAAACACATTGCAGCTTTTACATGGACTACAAAATTTACAATAAGGAGAATCCATTTTAAAGTGAGCATTATTTTACCTATAAATAAAATTACAACATGTGAAAGGTTATTTATTTAATTTAATTTATCAGTGATAACTATGATAATTCAGAGTATACATGCAATTCTCAACATACTTCACCAAATCTGTAGGCTGAGGTAGACGTGTTGCAACGCCTGCACGTATATTACACAATCAGATCACTTAAAAGGTAATTCTAAATAACTCTATATAATGGACATTGATTTATACTGATAGTGTAAATCGTTTAGTATTATCAGTACGTATAACTTAAATCCAATTAAGGCATATGATGAAAAAGGAAGAAATGGGCTCACCGAGTTCATACGCTTTAGCAGCAACATTAGCAGCAATATGAGTTGTGATCTTTCTGATATTACCAAAAAGAGGGTAAATTATCCCCTTGACATAATGCTCCTCAGTTACTTGACTGGCCAACGCTTTTGCTGTTTCGCGTAAACAAAAATTAATGATGGGAGGATGTGACACGTTGGGCGGTTGGGGAGGGGATTGACTTGTCCAAATTTGACCCAACTTGCCCATTTTTCACCTCTTATGGTCAAGATATGAGATTTCAATTTAAGGTTTGTAATTCAAATAGTCCCTCTATTTTAATTTGGTTGCCTGATCAAAACTTGAGATGGAATTTAAGAAAGTAAATGCAACTTTTGACTATGTGGTTTATGAACATGGCATGTGGGAAGTTGAAAATTAAAGAGTTATCATTTATCAAAAGAGAAAACAAATATTCTTTTTAAAACAAACTTAATAGGAAAGTTAGACAAACAAATTGAAACGAAAGAGTACTTACAAGCTGCTAAAAGCATGTCGTTGTGCACACGAATAGTGCCAATCATGACCAATCCCAAACCAAATCTTGGGAATATGTAACAGTTGTTCGCCTGTGATATTGCACGAAAGAGTGTAACTTAACCATAATCGAGTTGATTGTGGTGGTACTTCACAAAAGAACTTAAGCATATATATGCATTAATAAACCTGGCTAGGAATGTGGAGTTTGTTGTTGTACTCTACAGAAGGGAATAGACTTCCACTTGCGAAGATGGCTCGACCCTCTTCATAAAGAAAATAATAAGAAACAAGAACAACGACGTGAGCGTTTGGTGGAAGATTTAACCGAACACAAATTTAAACTTGACAGATTCAACGTTTAAGATCCTTATATGCATTGAACTCATTGTACTTTTGAAATGATGGTTTCAAAATTTTAGTGATTTTTCACATATACCTCTGTTATCATGAATATTAGCTACTTACCTCACTCCAAGTGTAAGCTTCTTCAGTAATGCATTTGGATTGTGTAGTCGGGTTTGAGAGAGCCATAATGGTCTCTGCAAATCATATTTTAGTCAGTTAGCTCAAAGAAATTAATTTTCAATGGGGAGAGAGGAAATGGAAAATCGTGGAAATGAAGCGCCTTGTTTATGGAGGCCATAACCTCAATCACTTCCTTAGTAAATGTTTTTCCCACTCTAGACGTTCTGATTATGGCAGCTGGCTTAATGGCCTAAATTAAATTTGGAAGTGTTAATGCATACAAAAGGATTATAAAAGTGGCAATCCTGGATTAGGGAGCGAGCTCATCGATCAAACCTTAACAGTGTTGAGGAGATTGTTGACAGGTTCGCGTTCATGTTCCCAAGGTTTCTTGTGAGCTTGAAGTGATTCCTTTCGAACGTTTACAATTAAACCTTACACATAACCACTCAATTACATAGACTATTTACATAGAGGAAACAATCGTAAACTTTGTTAAATGTGAAGTTTAGGACAAATACTAGTTGATGCTTATCGTGACCAACGACATTGACCTATGGTATGAGTGTCTACGATCCCAAGGGAGCGATTTTGAGGATTAATAGCCAATTAGAATTTCGTTTGAATTAGTCATAGCTAAACACATTTGCGATAAAATACATAGTAAATTAAAGGGGGTGACACGAAAGTATCAAATATCAAATGGGGGTTTTGTAACAAGTGCTAAAACAGCAAAATAAACAAGGAAATCAAGTATGGGGAAAGGTTCTTGGGATGTGACTGCAATACAAGTTGATTTAAATCGTTGGGTACATGCTTTCAATAGGAAATTTGCAAGATAATAGTGACTAGGCTGAGCTTTAAGTGGAAATAAGTCCCCTCTCGGGAAACTTACCCCGTTTCAAATGCGTTCCTTTTGGACACCCATTAGCTGCATGAAGACCAGCCTACGCCTTACCCTACTCACTCTCTCAAGCTGAGTGTTAGGATATGGGACTAGGGCTCACCCTTTCGGGCTGAACCTCATGTCGACCCACTCCTTAGGTCATCAGTCTAGTGGTTTTGGTTTCGCGACCTCTTTCTCGGGAAAGCTGAAAACACATGGGTGGCTTTGTATTTGCAACTACAAACCCTTTAGATTAAACCACAACCACTAGGTGAAATCACCATTAACATACATCTAACCTATCCGCAAGCAAGACCCAATAAGAATATCAACCCATATTTGCTTAATCACACCCTAAGAATGGGGAGTTTAGCCACACATCAAGAAATATGAAATTATACCTAACATGATAATGAAATCAACTACGTATAAGAAATTAAACCTTGTATTAAGCAAAGGGAGGTGAATAGAGAAGACCCACTTCCAACTTGGGGAAAAAGAACTCCTTTCTTCAAGTCTCCACAAAACCCTCTCCATACTTGAGAGAAAATATTAGCTAGAATATGTTCTAAAGTGAAAATAATAATAATAATTGTTCCACACTCCAATCTCCTAAGACTACAACTCTAAATAGTATTTACAGTTTTCACAGATTGTGCTGTGGAGGATTGTTCGGCGACATTAGTCGAGATCGCCGATGAACTCGGCGATCCGCCCTTTGGTCAGCTCATCGCCTTCAGTGTCTTGCCTTTAGCATCCTTGCATTCTGGATCATTGGGCGGTACAGTATTGCTTCGTTGAACTGAACGGTGACCCGACTGCTTCTTTCCTCGCCTTTAGATCCACTTTCTTCAAGGGTTCACGTACTAGAACGAAGTGTAGCTTATGTCATTTCGGGGACTCGCCATGTTAAACTCGGTGATTCGCAGGATTCCATTTCTTAATCTTTTCAGCCCTATTTGCTCTGTTTTGCGCCTAAGTGTCCATGCTTTCACTAAAACTTCAAATACCTGAAACTTCAGCATTTTAATCAGGTATTGGGGTAAAACAAGCATTCAAGGACACTATTTCCATTAAAACAAAGCCCTAAATGAGTCCAATTTGTGGACTCATCAACACCCCCAACTTAAGCTTTTGCTTGTCCTCAAGTAAACTCAAGTTTAGCCGTTCAAAAAGGGTGCCTCAAACAGTGCTACACAAGACTAAATTATGAATGCACACAACAAGACTCAATTTACTTTTGCAAGGATCAATTGTGTACTCAAAGATTCAAATTGTGACACACCATCACCAAAGATTCTCATGCTCGCAATACTTGCTACTTGTGCAAGTTCAAGCTCAACAAAAGTATCTAAATGCCCTCGCACAAAGAATGATTCCATATTCACACACATATATGAGTCCATTTAAAATCAGGAATCAGATACAATGCTCACACTCAAAAAGAGGAACACAATGCATGTTTTCACCCATAGGTTTGCCCTTATTTTCCAATTGACTTTCGATCAAGCTTACTCAAGATCAAAAAGGTCTTTCTAAGGCCTGTAGTGGGGCTGAGTGCAAAGGTATGGTCATTTAGGCTTAGTGACTTTCTTCTCGTGAGATGTGATGTTCTCAAGATATCCTCTTCCCTTCCTTCCTCAATTATTCTTCTAGTGCTCATAATTCATCCTATTATTCGTTCTCCATGTATTGCTTGGAAACCCTGTTTCTTTTGCACTTTTGTTCTACAAATTTCTTTTTCTTTCTTTTCTTTTCTCTTTCTCTTTCTCTTTTTTTATATGGAGGGTTTCCGTTTTGTTTTGCAATACAATAGGTTCAAGAGGCTTTCTTGCACTTCTTGACTTTTCCTTTTCCTTTTCACCACACCCCCAACTTAGACTTTTGGCCTAAGCTGGCTATTCACTAAACACATCTCAAGAGGATTATAGGTAGTGGATGAAAAAATCTAGGGTTTATCATGTTTCTTCCAAAGAAAAGTAAGGCTCAAAAGTGTTCAAAAGAGTTTCAGACGCTCACAGGTAGGTCACAAAAATAGGTATATGTCAAATTGGCTCAAACTCTTTAAACTTGCCTAAGATCATCTTAAGAGTACATCTTTGTAAATCAATCAGACTAACGGGGCAAATTCTAGGTTTATTCATGCATGGTTCAAAGTAAGCTAATCACACAAGGCATCGATACGTCAATCAAACAAGACTAGACACGCTCGCTAGTGTGCAATGGTCATCACAAGAGAATCAATTTGATAAATGGATAATCACAACGAGATGCAAAGAGTTCACATATTGTCTATGCAACTTCATTTGGCCTCATCGTAGCCATGTTTATTCAATTGGGAGCACTATTCAAGTCATTAGTATTGATCGAAACTGAGAATCAAATTGTTTTTGCAAAAGAACATACACTATCAACACAAAAGGTGGCGAAATTTTTTCGAAAGGATCAAAATTATTTTGCAAGTGAAACAACAGGAGCCATGAGCTCAAACATCCACAAAAAAGTAGTAATTTAAAATAATAATTAAGAATAGACAACCCAAATATCCCATTAACACACAAAAGGTGTGGGCCTAACCCCACCACAAATAAAAAGTGTTTGTCCTCAAATGCAAGTAATAAAATATCCAGAAAGGGCAGACAAAGAAAAACAGAGAGGGAGGTAAAGAGGGGATCCTGCTCGGTGCATTTGTCTAGGTTTCAAAGCTGAGGGTAACCTCCAGAAGGACCCGCTCCACTGAATCCTGCAGTCGAAGCTTTGGCCAAGGAAGCCTGCACATCAGCTTCTATCATGATTTCCTCAGTCTCTACTATGTCGTTTGTTGTAGCTCCCTCAAACATCTCTTCATCAATATCTGCTTTCGCTCCCAAATCTTCTGTCTGCTCCTCTCTATCCCTATATCCAGTAGTAGTCTGAGGCCTCTCAGGCTTGGCTGGAATTTCTACTATCCCAAAGACCATGGACACATCAGTGGCCTTCAAGTGATTCACATATTCTCGTAGCTCAGCAATGGCAGCTTTTAAAAATCTTATCTCACTAATGGACCCTTTCTTGTGCTCACACACCGCTATCTTGGCCGCTAAGGCTTCGATGGTAGTGTTCAGGGGTGTCACAACATCAGTTAGAGTCGTCTGGATCATGCCTGGAACAACTGCTTCTAAACAAGCGGCCCGATGATCAGTAGAAAGAGCCATATGTCCCATCAGAAGTAGGGAAGTGTGGGTGAGTGGGGGCCTAGAAATAGCAGTAGAGGAACCTAGAGTGTCAGTGGAAGTAGCATTGGTAATGGATATACCTGAAGGTCCAAGAGCTGGAGTGAGTAGAAGTGCTTCTGTAGGTGTAGATCTAGTGATCGCCACTTCAGTCTGCTTCTTTTCAGCTTGATCCTTAAGATATTCGACTTTGATCTTTCGGATATTGGTTGAGGTTGTAGGCATCACTTCTACATCCTTCTCGGCATCCAGAGGTACTCGAATATTTCTGCATAATACGGTAATTAATACTGGAAAAGGTAGAGATGTCTAGCTTTGCTTGGCGCGCATATGGATTCCGAACGCAATAATTGTTCCCAGATTTATCCTTGTTTTCTCTATGATGCACCCAAGATATGCTGCTTTAGCGAGGCGAAGAATTGATTCATTCTGTGATGGCATAATGGAGCTGCTGATAAATCCAAACCAGTATCTAGCGGCTACGGTCAGATCTTTCTTTTCAATTGGGATTCCTTCTGCTAGCCATTTCGAAGCATTATTATCTGAAATTAGCGGAACCACCATTGTTTCATCGCATCCAGCTGCTTCGTTCTGATCAAGTTCTAACAGTGATCATTAATCTTAGTGGACATACCCAAGGCTATGTTGATGGCCTCACTGTCACAAGCTATTTTCCTTCCTCTGACCACTACATAGTCAACTGCTTTGAAAGACGCGACTAGTCTCTTCCGCAGAGGTACCAATGCACTGTATGCACTATAAAACTCTCTGACCAAGCTTGGCATATAATAACCACGTGATTTTGTGAAAACTTGAAATTTCTGATATTTTAGGCACTCCATTATCTCAGGATACTTATCGATCACCCCATCTATGGACAACCATTTTTCTTCAATGATTGTTCTTAGTCCATTAGACTTAAATCTATTCGATGATCTAGGCATGGGCTTGTACTGGAGGTGCCAGTA